TGGGAGACAATCTGCAAGGAAACCGAAAACAAAAGGTGTCCAAATTGACCTTTAACTCCATGGGAATATAAGGCTGGGACACATCTCCTAAAGGGGATGGAGTTTTCCAGCGGGAAGGCTTCCAAGGAGGGACCTCACACACACCCTGGGATGCATCATCCCAAATAAAAAAACCAGGCTGAATAATCCACCTCAAACTAAGCTCCCCTGGTAACCAGAACACACTGTTTGGGGGTGGTGGGGGGAGATGACAACATCATTTCCTGGAGCACCTGCTCCAAACCAGAGTTCTTGTCTGACCTTGGAGAAATCCCAATTCCTGGAAAGGCCTGAAGCTGCAGGGATGGATTTTCTGTCCCCTTGTGAGTCAAACAGGGACCCTCTTTTGTGCAGGGAAAGTGTTGGAGAGGTTGATTTGGGATCATGGGAATGGTGAAGGTGTCCTGGCACGGGGTGTCCCTGGACAATGATTCCCTGTGACTTTAGGGGACATCTCAGCTCCCTGTCCACTCCTCACCCTGAGCTCCAGCTCTTCCCAGAGGACAGACAGGGAGATGAGCTGAGCAAGGTGGGATCCAAGGAAACCTCCTCCTGTGGATCTGAGCAGGGTGGGATCCAAGGAAACCCCTCGAGTGGATCTGAGCAGGGTGGGATCCAAGGAAACCTTCTCCTGTGGATCTGAGCAGGATGGGATCCAAGGAAACCCCTCCTGTGGATCTGAGCAGGGTGGGATCCAAGGAAACCCCTGCTGTGGATCTGAGCAGGGTGGGATCCAAGGAAACCTCCTCCTGTGGATGTGAGCAGGGTGGGATCCAAGGAAACCTCCTCCTGTGGATCTGAGCAGGGTGGGATCCAAGGAAACCTCCTCCTGTGGATCTGAGCAGAGTGGGATCCAAGGAAACCCCTCGAGTGGATCTGAGCAGGGTGGAATCCAAGGAAACCTCCTCCTGTGGATCTGAGCAGGATGGGATCCAAGGAAACCTCCTCCTGTGGATCTGAGCAGGGTGGGATCCAAGGAAACCCCTCGAGTGGATCTGAGCAGGGTGGAATCCAAGGAAACCCCTCCTGTGGATCTGAGCTCATCCACAGTGAAGCAGTGGCAAAAACCTCCAGGAGCCATGCTGAGCTGGGAAAACTCAAATTCTTATGGAATCCAGGAGAGGGATGGGGACTGTCCATCCTCTCTTGGGCCTGGATGGAGGGGTTGGGAGAAGGGCTGGAAAATCCCACCTTTGCTGGAGTGCCTTTGGAGCTCAGCCCTGCAAGGAACTGCAATTCCCTCCCATCCCAGAAGGGAACAGGCAGGGAGGAACAAATCATTCCCACACCTGGATTTGGGAGCCCTGAGGTGGGAGTTTGTTTTGCTTGTGGAGAAGGAGGACCCAAAATCTCTCGGTGTTGGGGGTCAGAGGCAGATTCTCCCCACGGAGCTTCTTGTGCAGGGGTTAAAATGGGAACAACCCCCTTCCTGTGCAGCCTCAGCTGCTCAGTCTTACCTGCCTTTAATAATAAAGGATCTGGGGGAGAAACACCAGCCCAGAGGATCCCAAATGCAGTTCTGGACCTGACTGGATACAGATGGGGGACCAAGGACTGGGTGGGGCCACTCCCTGGACAGCAGGCCCTGCTTTATTATATATATATATATAATATATATATATATAAAGCTTATTTTATAAATAGACACCCAGATATGAGGGTTTCTCCTGCTTTCCCCCCTCTCTCCAAGAAAAGACCCAGCAAAGGAGCCG